AGGAAGGAAGGAAGGAAGGAAGGAAGGAAGGAAGGAAGGAAGGAAGGAAGGACACCAGACATCTTCCACCAAGAATATCGAAAATAACCTGGTTGTGAGCCAGAACACAGACCCACCAAGGTCTGTAATATCAAAAACTTGTCCTGTTCAAGCCTTTTTTGACAGAGGACACATTGCTGTATTTCCTGAAGCCTTGATCCCTTCTCCTTCTCCCTGCCTCTAAATTATAAACCAACAGCTGGATCCAAAATTGGAAAGTTACAATCTGAAGTTAATCCAGCAGCCAGAGATAAGATCAGTGTTGCTGATTCTCACTGTATCTCATTGATCCTAGGGGTCAAAGAGCCCCAGTTAAAGAAACTGGCCTATGTTAATTTCTTCATTCGATTTGATAACCCACCTTTGATACAGGAGCTCAAGGCAGTGTATATAAGGTTCCCTCCTCCTATTTCTCCCCACAACAGCATCCCTCACCCAAAGTTGCCTGTGGCTGAGGCTGGACTAGACCCTTGGTCTCCCCATGCCTAGTCCTACACCTTAACTGCTACACCACATTGACTAATAGTCCTTGAATATACTCAGGAATAAACCAGGGAGCTTCCTGTATTATAAATAATTGATCCTTCCACTGGGCTATGGCTTGGCAAATGGTACCTCAGCTGTTCTTTCTTCTGCATGGCCCCCTTGAGAAACCTAACAGTCATTTTCCTTAGGGATGTTTGAAGTTTAAGAATAGTGTATGGGGATACCTGAACTGGCATCCTCCCACCTCCCAACACCTTTCCCAAGTTTAGATTCAGAAGGAAATAACACGCACTTCCATCAGTTTCTTCTGTAGGGACGTCAGCTTCATCATTCTTATCATCTAATTGAGGTTCCTGGGAAGGCATCACAGAATCCTGTAAGAATATGGATCAGGGAAAACTCAAAGGACACGTTTTGCATAACTGGCCAGTTTCCTTGAAGACCAAACAGGAAATTGACCAAGAATTGACTCGCCAACTAACTAGAATGGGGTTAACATGACTGTACCGCCAGTACAGTCACAGCATAAACCAAATTTCTGACTATAAATTACCATTTAAAAGTAAAATCAACACATTTTGCTTTATTTCACATACAAGTGCAAGCAGAAAGAAAGGTTTCTAAGGCTTTGTGAGGCAAACAGTCACAACCCAGGGCAATCAAAAGTACGTAAGGATGGACCGTTTATGTGGGAAGAGCTTAAGAGAAAAATGGCTGCAATCCATCCATCCAACTAACTAACTATCAAGGCAAAAATGAGCAATTTTCAGTCCCAGGAAACATCTAAAGGATGTCAGGGGAGGGTTTTTAAATTCTTCTATATTCTAGATATCTGCATTTTTGTATTGAACATTTTAAATTTACATTTAGAAACCAGTTAAATAATTATTGAACAATTTCAATCCAGGAGTTCTAGAGATCACTTGACCATGGATAAGCACACTTGTTACTGAAACATCTATCCAAGACCTGGGAATAATAGTAACTGCTAGTTCATGTTTATATACTTTCATTTAAGGAATCTTGAAAATTGCCCCTTGAAATTGTTCAGAGAGAAGATATGAGTGGGCAGTTTTTCACTGGATGACTAAGTTATAATACTCTCTGAAAAAAGAGTTGCCACCCGTGATAAAAATGGTTCAGAGGTACGAAAGAATTCCACATTGCCTGAAGAAGATAGGACAATATCCTCAAGGAATTCTTCTGGAGGAGTTCCATCAATGTGAGTACAATTTGCACAAAAGCATAGATTTAAGGATGGGTAGGAAAAGCTAATTTTTCTGAAGAGTTCAATGCCTCAGACCGAAATCTGATGTGAGGTCAATCTCAGCAGAAAAGACTGATTCCCTAGAATAACTGTGCAAGATAGATTTATCTACACTATGGCTGGGTTTGCAGTACTCATTTAATTTGGTGACTGAAACAACTCAACATCTACATCGTAAACTAAGCAAAAGAGTTGAGTTCGCACAGCATGTAAAGACCCACTCAAAGCATCCTGACCCAAATGAAGTCTTCACAACTGTGGAACACAACCTGCCAAGGGCTCACTGCAACACTATTATTACATGGCATGAAAAAATAGATCCACCACATTAAAGGAAAAGGTTCTTTTTTAAACCATATGTTTTGTCAAATGCCAGTTCAGCTCAATACTGAAAGGAATACCTTTACAATTCATCTTTAGTAGAGATGTTTTCTCCAAACAACAGGGATTATACATAGATTTTGTTTAAAAAAAAATAGCTAAATGTCAATTGTACAGATGCTCTGTGTTGAAATATTAGCCAACTGCTCTTTGTAACAGAATCCCCAAATCTGCTCAGAGGGGCTCGATGATTGGGAACTATTTGAAATAGACAAAACATTACATGTAGCATTGGGGGAAATCTAAGGACAGAAGTGACTCTAAGGCCAGAACAATAAGTACATACATTGTTTAACTTTGGAATTCTGGTTGGTTGTTTTTGTAGTTTTCCCAAAATTAGAATACAAATTCAGTTCTTCCTCATCAGTAAAAAAGAATTAAGTTGTGACAGAGCCCATTGATTTAATCTATCTCTCACAAATCAGCGGATGTTGGGGAGAAAACCTTGAAAGCTGTATATCTCGACCAACATCATTACGTTATGCTCTCATTCTAACACAGTCTAGTTAAAGCTTCTTGCAAGAACCCAACTTACCATATGCCTTTTGCAGGTCAGTGGGACAAGAATGTGACAGCGTTTATGGACCAACAACTTGCAGTTGATGCACTTGTATCCTTGCCTTCCCAGACCCCATATCCTTTCACTGCACTGGCCACAGTATGCTCTCTAGAACAGAAATGGAACCACTTCTGAAGTTACACCCAGTCCTCCAGATCAACAAAACAGCATTTTGAAAGTGAAAGTGAAAAACACCCAAACACTTTCTTACAGGACTGATACAAGGGTCCCCTTGTGCATCTATGTCAGTGTTGTCCAAACTTGGCCACTTTAAGATGAGTGGACTTCAACCCCCATGCTGGCTGGGGAATTCTGGGAGTTGAAAGCTGTATATCTTTCACTTCTGAAAGTTCACAGCTGTATATCCGCTCATCTTAAAGTGGCCAAGTTTGGACAACACTGATCTATGTTGTCTCCCTGATGGCCAGGATAGCCCTTTAATTTCAGGCTGGATCGTTTGTTAACCTACCATCATTTTGTCTGAGAATGACAGAAAGAATTCCCCCCTCATCGGCTATTTAAGCCTTTGAACTAGAAATACCAACATCAAATCTAGCGTCTTTTGCATAGGAAGCAGATACAGTAGTAGTGGATTGTAAGTCCACCTAAAAGGTTGTGTCGTCATCCATTCTCATATTCAACATGCTGAAGAAGACGCTTCCATTTTCATCACTACAGTACCCTGAATCTGAGAATTCAGGACAACAAATACTTTTGAGTGGACCGGCAACTCTCTAGTACAACATGGTGACCCACTGTTCTGCTTTTTTAAATCCACCTGGCTTGTTAAGTAAACCAACTCCTTTTAATTTTTGTTACCCAGTATTATATCCATTACATGTACGTTTGCAACGCCAGCTGAAAAATGCTAATTAAAAATGAATTCTTCGGCACCCCAACTCCTAGTTTCCATACAAAGAAACCAGAATTGTTCACTCGCTCACATTAAAGCCAAGGAAGGAGTTCATTTATTTTCCCTTGCCAAACACAGAGATAGAAAAAATGGAACAAGTTCTGCATTAGCAGATAGAAATTACCCTCTGAAGCGATTGCAAAAGATAAAGAACATAGTTTGCAATCAGAAAGGAAAGAGTAGGTCACCCTAAGAACAGAGGCGTGTGTTAGATCAAATTGTAATCACGGAGAACCTCTTTGCCTGAAAGGGAGATTTTTTTTTTCCAGGTCACTGGACGAAGTAAATGCCTTCCCACTGTTAGATTGTGAGATGCTGAAGAAAAATGTGCATCTCTACAGACGTGTGCTGGCAGACTACGATGAGGGTTATTAGCTTTTAAAGCAAATAATGCGATTTCCACTCTGGGGTGTCCCTCAGATTCCGTTGGTTAGGAGCAGCATATAGGCCCTAGTAAATCAATAAATTTTAAAAAGCTAGTGTTTTTTTCTTCCGACATACACTGAGTTTTGAGCTGCTACATTAAAATATTCCTTGGTTTCATTTGCCCAATGAACACTGAGGCAAACAAGATGACCCTTTTCCAGGTTTTGCAGACTAACACAGCTCTCCCTCTGGGAAGCCCTGAAAAAAACCCTTGGTAGATGTTATGGGCTCTTGAGTAGCACCATGACAGCTCCTCTGGCAACAATGGTTCTAAATCCTAAGGGTTTGCAATCCAAAGCTGAAGTATTTAAAAAAAAAAAAGGCAAACATGTTGATATTCTCGCACATCAAATGCTGAAGAATTCCCACTGAGGTGCATTAAGAATCAAAAGGATCTGATTACCGTGGAGATTTTTAACTTAGCAGGGACACTTTATAAGGCAAGAGACCTCAGAGCGAGAAGCTCAGCACTGGGTTTATGATGTTAGGGCCAGAAAGCATACACTCATTAATCCTGGAATATTTTTTAAGGAGTTTGGCAAACCAAAAGCCTCTAATCTTTCACTGGTTGGGCTTACAGTCCTAAAACTTGACTTTCAAACCCAAGTCAAGTCGTTACAGACAAGAACAAAATATTACACGATCTCAAAGAGAAGCTTAACTGTTAAGGGTTTGTTTTAAGCCGAGCATGCAAAGATGGCTTCCCTGCTTTTTTTTTTTTTTTAAAGAGAATATTTTTTAAATCATCGCTTCGCAAAGATTACTGTCAGTGTTCTGATTGTTTTCAGGCCTAAACTGTCCATTGCTTTTTGAATCCAAAACACTAACACGTTTTTCCAAGTCATGCAATTAGAATTTCATCCCCTCTGAGGCTTTCTGCAAAAAAAAAAAAAACCCAGAAAGAAGCTTTCCAGCAGACAAGCTTTTCAGAAACAGCTGTCCAAACATTCTGGTTGGCATGAACTGATGCTACCCACCACCTATAATCACTGAGTTAAACTTTATTTTCTTCTGGTCGTTTTCTGGTCATGGACTATCCTGCAAGGAAATCTGGCTACAGAACTAAACTGTAGTAACTGACATAATTAAATGTAATGGCATTTGGTTTTAGAGCAAAGTAGTCTTCTCCTTTAAAATAGGCACATGGAATGACTTGGAAATAAAAGATGCAACAGCATTATGGAAACTAAGCTGGTATGAACTGGATATGTTTCATATATAAATATAAACTTGATTTAGTTATGGTCCCAGATCAGTATAAATAGCAAAATCTATAGCTAAGAGTTTGGTTACAATAATCTAACCCTTCCTCCATCCCACAGGGAAGCCTCCAAAGTCCATGCTTCTCTGACAGATAAATCTTGCAGAGCTTTTGAAATGTTTCACAATTCAAATTCCTTTTGGGGGGCAAAAATATTACTTTAATCTTGCTGCGATCTTCGTACTGTTCCGGAAAGTGAAAGTTTAAGTTCTTTCGATTCTTCTCTTTTTTAATTTGTCAGCAGAGTCACCCTACTTTGCTTTCTCCAGAAGGCAAAGTGAGCAGAGTCAGGACTGAATTCTCCATTGTAACTTACTCTGAAAGAGAGCAGTGTTCGAATCTACTGAACCCAACTTGACTTTGCTTACAACTTTGCCCTTGTAAATCCAGCTTCATTTTACATCCATTTTTCAAAGTTCCAGGTCAGATTGTTTTTGATGGTGTAAATCATTAATGGCGTTATACGATGACTTGGGATTTATAAACAATCCTACCCAATGCTTAAATTGCAGGCAAAGAGATAAAGGCCCATTAATGAATTCTACAGTTCTTGCCCAATTTTAACTGAATTATATCCCTGCATACCCTTCTTAAGCTATGAGCTAATGGGATCAGGACCCTTCTGGCTCTTTTCCCAAACAAAATAACATACTCACAATGGGAAAAAATGAACCGCTTATAAAGCGAGACTGAAAAAAATGTCAACGGTTCCGCTATAATAGCCCAGCGATGAGATTTGCTCCAGTAAGACTACTGCTGAAAATGACGGGTAGATTATCAAGAATTTCAGCTTTGTATTTGGGGGGCTGTCACTCTTCTACGTGAATAAAGAAGTTTACAATATACCAGATTTCATTATTTTTGAATCCCCCGGGAAGAGAATGAAGGCCAATTGACAGAACGGAAAATTATATATAATTGAGACCGCTGTAGAATTGTAGCTAAGCTACCCAGCACAAAAAGTGTTTTTGTTTCTTTGCAAAAACCTTAATTTTCAGGCTGCAGTAGCAATCACAGGAACAGAAGCGCCTGGCTGAGTACCCCCGAATGTCTTAGCAGAAGTTACGATGGCCCAGTTCACACATTCTTCATACCACGTGGGAGGCCGTTTGAAATGGAATTGAGTGGGAGCAAGTATTTTCAGCAAGCCATTTGTGTGAAAGCTGTTCCCCGTGTGGTCTGGACAATGCCATCAGCGCAGCGCCCCTGCAGCCAACTGAAATGACCCACGCTTTGTGGAAAGCGGTTTTGCATCAAGAACTTGCACCGTGGAAAGGCACCCAAGTGCTTTCGCTTAAAAAAAAATAAAAACACGCCTGGGCGATCAGGAGTCTGGAGTGCTCTTAAGGGCAAAGTCATGCGTAGAGTGTTTAGATCGCCAACACGTCTCACCAGTCCCCACGAGCATCTGCATCACGAGATGTGGCTTGGTTTGGCAACAGGCTGCAGCTGAGCAAGGGAGTGTAAAAGTGTAGGACTTAATGCAGCATTTTACAGTGTTCCCCTCCAATGTTGTGTGAGTGCCCCTATGCAAAGCATATGATTTCACTGGCATTAGGGCTGGGCAAAAAATAAATATATCATTGATTTTCAATGACGGTGTTTAAATTTCTAGATCATAAAGGGATGTAAAATGCAGGAGGAGCCCAACTCAGAGGGAGCTTTGAAACTGTTTCTGCTCTGCCCCCACAAGCCTTTTAGCTTGTTTAAAAAACTGTGACACCCCCAAGTTGTTTGCAACCCCCCCATAGATGCCAAGCCATAACTTGAGAATAATATTAAAGCCCTAAGACTTTTGTTAGTCTTTTTAAAGTATTATGAGACTCTGTTTTTGCTGCAACAAACTCTTCTTTTCAAAATCTTGTTTTATGCACTCAAATAGAAAAGGGGTGTTTTTAAAAAAAAAATAGCCCTTAAAGCTGACAAGATACAGAAGGATAAACCGAAACAGAAGACCTCACTGCCAGATGTAGGCAGGCTTTAACAACATACGTGATCTAAGCAGACTGTGCAGGCCCAATCTTTCTGAAATTTAATTATGAAACTGTTGTGATGCTGATTTAATTTCTTAATTGCTACTGTAGCAGATCTTTGAATCAAACATGCACAGCAGTGTCATTATAGGGTTTATTAAAATGAATAAACAGATGAATCCACAAGTATGTATTTGTTCTGTAGGGCAAAATACTTGTAATGTACACATTTTATGCAGAACTTTTATTTTTCTGAGATGTGCAATTTGACTTGTCCCGGTTGGATTAACGTTCAGCTTAATGTTCTAGACTTCTAAGTCTAGTTTCCTTAGGCACACATAATTAGTTGCATTTTTAAGCCTACCAACATTATTAAAGAAACACATTTTTAAACATCTTTGTACCTAGTAATCTGATATAGATGCATGAGAGGTTTGCAAAACAGAGAACTTTTCTTTAAAAAAATTGACACTCTGAAGCTAGGGAATGACAAGAGCTATGCATTCCAATAAATATAACTCAGAATACATCAGGAATAGCTTTTTCTTGACTGTTTTAACCAACCCCCCATTTTCTGTTGAAAAACACTGTTAAAATCCATGTGTTTTAATAACACTGCACACCGTCCAGGTCCAGCGTTTGTGGTTCATGAAACTATCAAAAATTGCTAATTCAAACCTTCTGCCTTAATTGCTTCCTAAAATACCATGGTAATATTAAAACAAAGGCATATCAACATGTGACAATTCTCAGGAACCTGTACAGCTGTCTATATCGAGACTAGAATCAGGAAAGATTTTGATCACCGGGAATGAGATTAAAAGATGTGACCTGCCATCAAAAATCTAATTTTCCTCTGAACCCCTTCAGCTGATGGAGACCGAGAAGTCTCTTGCATGCGAGATAACAAGTGTGCATTTGTTGAGGGCACCCACAACCAGCATACCAACCTCCTCCTGTATCAAGAAGTAGTGACAGCTGTATCGTCCTGATAGTTAAATAAACCTTTAATCCAACCTTTCCTCCATTTATCAAAATGCACAAATCTTTACCAAAAAATGGATTATGTACTGATTACATTCTGCAGCATTAAAGGGCTGGGTTAAGAAAGGAGGGGGAGCTTGCTTTATAGATGAAGTCAGATCCTTAACACAGCTGTACCTCCAACACACGCGGCCGTTCAACAGATAAAAATATTTATGGTGTCGTTAATTAGGTCAGATCTATTTCGCTCCTGTGCATTTTAAAAGCATTCTAAGCATTTTGACGCTAATCCAGACAAACCATAAGGAAAAAAAGGAAGCAGGAAAAGACAATCTGTGTGTTCAGGGAGAGTATTCCCATCAATGCAGATGAGCTGGGAAGCCAGCATGAAAAAAATATCCCTCTGCACACACACACACACACACACAAATGCACACACACACACGCATTTGAGGGGGAAACCGCGCTTGTATTTTCCCTCTCCAGAGTGCACGATTTCAAGCTTGTTATTCAATAATCGTGCTGCATAAACTGAATCGACTCTTTCTTTTTTCCCTTCCAGGGTAGGAAAAGGATCACCTGGGAGAAAAGGAGCTACTCATTTTCTTTCCTCCCCACCCATCCGTGTACCCATCACACCTCTCCCCTGCCTCGGGCCCCTCTGGCGTCTCTTTCGGCCACAGTACTCACTCTGTTAAAGCGTTTGGCTTGAAACAGATGCCCGTTCACTCGGTACAGCTTCCTCCATCTTCTGGCTCCCCGCCGGTAGATTGATTCTGAGAAGGATATTAAAAAGGTGTAAAGCAGGAGCATATTAATCCTGGGGCCTCTCTACGAGCAAGTGGCGATTGGACCGGGCTTTTCTGAACGTCCACGCATCGCTGGGAAGCTCTGCCGGCACCTGCTGTCAAAATGCATCTGAAGGATGCGTTTCCCCATCACCCCTGCCTCTCCCATCCCTCCGTCTCCCCCCCCCCGGCTCAATTCCCCCCCACATGATTGTGATCTCGTTACAGGTCTCTGGCTGCAGGCGGCTTCCAGCTCAGGTGAGATGGAGGGAGGCCACAGGGCTCAAGGAATGGCATCTGTCTTTGAGCCGGGGTGGCACGTGCAGACCCACGCCAACGAGGCAAGTTAGCTGGGAAGCACCGCAGACAATACACAGTTGCACAATTATGGTTCCCATTCTCATTTTCTCCCTCCTGTAAGATGATGTCACCAGGATCCTTCTGAGTCAAGAGGAAACAGTTCTAGGGGGCTTTCAGCAGCCGTCGAGAAAAGACAAATATTCTAACTCAGGAACTTGGTCCAAATGGAATTCAGACCCCGGTTAAGAACATTCCCAGACCACATTCATTTTTTTTTTTTAATTATTTCACTTGGTTTTCAAAGCGTGCCCTAAAGCTATTTCAACAGAAGCACTGTAGCTTTCCTAATATGAGTATTTTTCAGAACCAGGCTTGGCTGCAGGCGGGGAGCGTAATGTGGGGTCCCCTTTTCCAGAATCAATTTCCCCTCTCTCGAGGAAGAAGATAAAGTAGGGGAATCCAGGTTACAAAAGAAATACAAACAGATCAAACTTATCATTTACTCAGAAATCACCAAACACCATTTCTTCTTTCGGAAACATAGCCCTCTATCCAAATATGCATCGGGAATCAAAGAACTCCCCAAAATGGCTGAGTTCTACCCAATCGGCTTTTCCTTGAATACGATTCCCCCGTTTCCAAAAAACCCTTCCATTTCATTATCATCTTGTTGAGCTGCACAAGCTTTACTATGTGAGATGCAAAAGTCCTACATTGCCTTGAGTCCAGAGAACTCATTGTGTGATCTCTGGGCTCCTAAGAATTTCAATGTATGCAGCTGGAGAAAAAGGATTTATATGATCTGAAGAGAAACCAGAGCATAAAAAGGATTTTTTTTATCAAACCAAAAGCATACCAAGCTTTATTTTAAATACATGCAATATTTCAGCTTGGAAAACTCCCAGGGGAGTTGAAAAGCTAAAGACAGAATAAAGATCAATAAAAGATTAAATTAGAAGAATGAAAGATCTGGGGGGGGGGGAACTATCAATTCTATAAATAAAAGCAGATTAAGGGTCTTGCACCACTTAGGAATCAGATACTTATTGGAATTGGATTCAGAACTTTTTTATCACCAATTGCTACCTAATTTATGAATGATTTGATGTAAGGTCTTTTTGCAGGTATCTTCTAAGGAGCAAGGTAGGAACCAAAGAGAGAGGACTTCCCACCAATGATGTTTGAGACTAGAAAAAAAGGACACAGAATGGACATCTCAGAGGAACCTAATGTACCTACAGGTCCAACAATTCACATCTGTCACAGTGCAGACATATCTCAAATAATCTAATCAAGGCTAGACGGAGGTCAACCAAGTCAATACCTTCAAGGGTTCTTAACAAAGGTTTCAATGGATCTTTGGTGCAAGAGCTGTTCTCTAGAGATTCTACTTTTCCATACTGATGCCTTGACAAAGATTGTCCATGTAACAGTTTAGGCTGAGAGGACTTTCCACGTGTGAAAAATCATTACTGCTTTGCAGAAATAAGCCCTTTCTCCACATTCACAAGAACCAGCCAAGTCAACCTTATCAGTCAGAAGCTGAAGGTTCCAACAAGACCAAAAGATCTTGAGGTAGACTTTTATTTCAGTGGTTTTTATTAGAGAACATGGAAAGGAATGTCACTGTTTCTATGACAACTGGATGCCCAAAACACATTCAAGACTTGAAATAAATAAAGTACGTGAGACATACACATAAACACACATGCACAGAGAACACCTGGAAGACAATCCTAAAATTAAAATCGCTATCCAAATAGATGATTTGTACTCAAAGTCAAAGAGCAAAAAGCCCCAAAATCATTTGCTTGCCTATCAATTCTTCAGAGCATTCTTCAGAAGCCATTTTCGGTTCTTAAAATCTCTACCATATTGTTGCACAGCGTAGGACTGTTGCTGCATTTGTATCCTTCAGAGAATCAGACCTCAGAAGTCCATGACAGCTTAACCCATGACACCCTAGCCAAACTGTCTCGCTTCCTCTCTCAGAAAATCTCTTCTAATGTTTTTAGTAGGCGGGAAAAGCTCCAATACATCAAAGAACACACCTTCCTCTAGCTATTCTTGTACATTTCAATATAAGCAGTGAGTTAATAAACTTTTTGAGATAAGAATCCTGCACATTTCTCTCCTTCATAGAGTTTGTAATTTTATCCAGAGTTGTGGAGCATTAGAATGAAACTGCAATCTAACATTGTAGCATGAAAAAACAGAGTAGAATATAAGAATCCTGTAGGATATTCATTATTATACTCCTACTGAAGTTGGAGGACTATACTGTATAGAGAAAATATTCACAGCAGCCCTACAATGAATCCATGGTTACTATTCCTGATCAAAAACAGGGATGAGATTGATTTGGATTCCTGGTCAGTTACAACTTAATACTTCTCTGATCAGAAGTTGTGCTATTAAATCTTAGAAGTACTGAAATACATTTTAAACTTAATGGAAGGTCCAATTAAGTCCAAGCTCTACACCATTCCATATAATAATGGTGCCCATCAAGGTGCTTTTGAAAGGAAAGGGAGAGTTTGGTACAGTGGTTACGGTGCTGGACTACAAACCAGACCATGAGTTCTAGTCCTCCCAACTGGATGACCCTGGGCCAGTCACTCTCTCTTAGCCCACCCATCTCACAGGATTGTTGTTCTGGGGACAATACAAGGAGGGAGCACTATGGACCTAACCCTAACCCTTGAGCTGTACAAAAAAGGTGGGATACATATCAAATAAATAAATACATTGTGATGGGGATTTCACACATACACACACCTCTAAAGCAGAATGCTTCCAATCTACCAATTGTATAGACGTATGTCCCCGCATGTAAGGAAGATACTATGGAGTTCGTCTGATGCTTATGAGTCTCTCAAAGGCTGTTCCATAATCATTGTAAAAGAAGAAATCTGGAGTGCATAATGACACCTTTCTCATGTTCTTGCAGAATATATGATTACCTCCACAAACCTTTTAGAATTTCTATCCATAAGAAAACAATTCTCAAGTACGTATTCTTACCTGCTCTTCAATACATTCTACTTTAGAAATAATTTGATAGCGTGTCCTTGCTAATGGTTCCTGATAAATCATTCCTCTATACAACTGTTCAATACCATGTTCTACTTAATTTTCTTCAGGACCCTTAATTCTTTAAAAGCAAGCTTCTCTGAGATAACTATTCGCTATTTACACAGTCTAGAAATGAACCTGTTAATAGTTGCAAAGGGAAAAGAAAATTAAATTCATTCTGGTCTCTAAATAGCAAGAAAGATTTAAACAAGTTATAAATGATACCATCAGAGATTCTGGAATCTGATCTTGAAACTTGAGACTTACTCCAACAAGTTATCCAGGACTGGGAATAGAAGCATATACTGTAATGCCAATTACTGCAAACGAAGCTGATTGATTTTGACACTAAGGGACATGTTATTGCCTTGAGAAGATAGTCAGTCAACAGCAGTAGTAAAGCGTAAGATTTTGGATTGGAGTTTGCCACTGGCTGGTACTAACTGTGGCAGTTATATTGGCCGTGCTGGACGTTTTTTGTAGATCAGCTTTCCAGGCAGATGTAGATGCTCTGAATTAAAGGACTAAGAGAAAAGGGAGATTAATCCATTGACAGGCATGTCTGCAGTAAAAGATCACCACTGAAAGGAACCATAAGCCAGGCTAGAAGGCACCACAGCCAATGAAAAAGCAGCACATTTATGAGGACAGTGCCGCAAAACACACGCAGCTATGCTCCAAACCGAGATTTAAACAAGCTTTCCACTGAGTTTTAGAACAAAGATCTGACTCATGCTCGATAGACCTAATCCCTCCCACAATTGAATCTTCCACTCTGGAATATTTGCTGAGTCGTAATTCCACTTGGAGCCTGGCCTCAAATAGTAACACCCCTCCAACATCTACAGTTAGCCTTCAAAGCAAGCTGGAAAAATGAGGAGCTAAAATGAAATTTGCCTTAAAAAAAAAAAAGAAAATCAGTACAATAGTATTGTAACACTGCTAACTTTCCTCTCCTGCACACAGGTAAACCCAAAACTTCCCATCAGAGGAACATCTGGCAAACCCTTGAGAAGTGAATATGGATAAGGCCTCTCAAGTCAAATTACAAGGCTTGGTGATAGTACGAGAGGAGAACCATATTAGTCTATGGGAGCTGATGATCAGAAGGAGTCTGGGGGCCCTTTTTCCAACTCACAAATTTTATTCAAAGGCAGAAGCCTTTATGAGCTGCAGCTCAGTTCATCAGATGCAGAGAGTGGCTAGACTGATGCAGGATCTGGCCTGGCATGATAGTGTAAGAGTTTCCAAATCCACTCCCTGTTGCCACGTAATGGATAACCACAGGCTGTAGTTGCGAGTCAGGAGTCAAAGGATTCACCCATAAAAAAGGACAGGGGTGAACAAATACGTAGGAGAAAGAAAAGTTTACCAAGCATTCTGAACAACGCAACCAAGCTCAACTTTAAGAATAAATTGCTCTTTAATCCTTCCGTAGCCAACCTCTCGTCAGGTAATTACTCTGCTTCAGTCAACATCCAAGATCAGTGGCAATCCATTCATGTTGCTACCAAGAAAAAAAAGCCCTTCTAGGGTTTTCCTGTCATGCTGAACCCAGAGAAACTTTATAACATTTTCTAAAAATAGGACATTTGCTGATCAGATGCTCTCCT